TTACGAACATGTGACTGTGTTTATCTTCCTCTAACTAACCAAACAAACGCGCCGAGTTTTTGTTGCTTTAAATAAAAATTAAACTATTATGTATTCTAGAAACATAGTGTGTGTGTGTGTGTGTATTTGTAGAAGCTAAATTAGATTTTTCCTTCACCTGCTAACAGTGACTCAATCAGTACTGGAAAATCTTAGAAGTGACGCGTCATCTTTCCTCATTAGCCGAGATAAACTCATGTACATGCTGTTTATAGTTCATGGCAACTCTGATCATATCCCATCAATTCAAAGTACACACACACACACACACACACACACACACACACATATATAAAGAGCATCACTAATGTGAAATACTTCCTGATTTGATTTAGTCACATGTGCACCACTGGCTGCTGTGGAAGCAGCCTTTTCAATCAACAGAATTCTGTATCAAAAGACAGACTTGGTCTCAACACAAGAACGGGTGACGGCACTCACGTCATGGCCTGGTAAATAGACTCGATGCCATAGCGCATGGCAAACTCATCCACGATTTCCTGCTGCACCTCGTCAAAGTAAACTTTCCAGGCATCTTCTCCCTGAGCCGGCGGAAGCTTCACCAAACCGCCTCCTTCTAAGTCCGTGGAGAAGTGAAACATATTCTAGAAAAGAAAAAAAAGAGGAGATTAAAAATGTCAGCCAGTATTTAAACCAGAAGTGTGAGAGTCTCAGAATAAAGGAGTGAAATTGAACCAACAAGAAGAACCAACAGAGGCTTCAGTACGGAAAGGCTAACTGGGCGTAGGCCAAGATTTAATCACTAATGGAGGTGGAGGACGGAGGGGTTATAAAGTTTATGGGCCTGAAACTCCCAAAGGGGCAGCAGGGGGCTGAGTGGTTAAAGTATTAGAATTGCTGGTTGGAATCTGGGCCCTGGCAAATCTGTGGTGTGTTGAGCCAGCAACTTGGTGCGGTGTTAATTATTGGAATGAAGACGTTGGGTGAGCAGCAAAGACAGCGCCGCAGCTCGAGTTAACAGCACTATTGCTTTTGTCTGCATCCATTTAGGACTGGTGTCTGCTTTTTTCAAAAATAGAATGGGGAGGGCAGGTCAGGAGTGGATAGATGGAGTGTTCGTGTGAACTAAGATACATGACATGTAAACGTCATGCATAAAGGCTAAAATGCTAAAATGCTTTAATCATTTTCTACGCCATCTATTGGAGAAACATGGGTTTTAAAGGGAAAAGGCAATATAATTTGGAAAAGTTTGGTGGGCCGGAAAAAAAACTTCGAATGGGCCGCAATCCGGCCCAGGGGCATTAGTTGCCATCCATGCCTGATCTAAAGTTTTGCATTTAAAGTTTACATTACCTCGTGAAGACAGGTGTACTGTATGTGGTACGGTGCCACTTTTTCCTCTCCCTCAATTTCCACGCTAATCTGAAGACGGATAGCACCAGACACCACCGACTTGTCCGTCCTCTTCTCTGCAAGCAGAAAAAACAAACCAACACAGACAATATTTAATCCTAAAGATGGATACTCAAGATTGGTATCAGTCCAACATTGGTCAAAACTTTCAGGATTGTACAAAGAAAAAGCCATTCTGATAGGATACCAAAGCCCAAATGGTCAACTCAACTTTGCGCAACAGTAAAGAAGGTATCAGATGTATTTTGGTTTTGACGGATACTCCGAGTTGCAATATTGGTATCTGACATGAAAAGGTCGTTTCGAGCCATCCCTAATTGTTACCACTGAAACTGTGATGGTAAGGAAGCTCTCTACACACAAACTCACCGAGGATATACCAGACATCCATCTCTCCGCTCAGTGTTCGGACCTCGATGATACTTTGACCCAAAAAGTCATCAGATTCTCTCTTTAACCGCTGCTTCACTCGGGACTTGATGTCATCGTCCTCGTCCCAAACTCGCAGCTTGATACGATCTGAAGAGTTGTGGCACTCGCTGTTGTGACAGTCGAAAAGGTGAGGAATGATAGAGTGGAATGTGAAACATAAGTAGGCACAGATGGAATGGTATTTTGTCTCAATTGTTTCATGTGTCAAGTTAATTTGAATTTTAAAGAGGGAATACTGTAAGCTTACAAGGCAAATTTTTCCTCCCAGACTGGGTTGAGATTTCCGTAGATGGTCTTGGTCCGTTTCTTGGTTTTCCCGACTTGGATGGTGACATATGGGTCACTGGTTCCTGTCCTGTCTTTGGCCTGAAGACCCTGTGCACTGACAACTAACATGGGAGAAACACACAGACAGACACACACATAAAGAGAAGGGGATGACTTAAAATTACATAAGAAAAACAAACACCTACTTCCACCCATCATGTTTTCTCTTTGTCATTCACTCACACACACCAATACAAGGTATCACCCACACACTTGCAAAGCAAAGCATCACAGCAACCCTCGTGACTCACAGATGTTGACCAACTACATTTCTCATCAACAAAAAAAAAAAATCTGATCTGTCGAGGGGATTTACTACTCCGCACAACAACAGGTCAGATGATAGGTTGGAGAGAGCTAAAATAGACAGTATTACAATTCTTAGAAAATAAATTATTTATTCAGCCTGATGTAGGGGCTATAAATAAGGACAGACTGCCGTAACAGCATTGGTGTAATACTGGCAAAAATCCCTGTATTGAGTACTTTTAAAAATGTTGCGGTGAGTTTAGTTATGCTACTAACATTGAGTTAAAATTTTAGTGTAAATTTATGTGAGCAGACGCATGACAAAATGTTTTTAAATAAGAGGCAGGTGAAAGTGTTAGGAGTAAATCATATTAGTTCACACAAGCCTAACTATAGAAAAACACCAAACTTTTTGAAGTTTGGTGGCAGTGAGAATTGCTATGAAAAAAAAAATGCAGAAGGCCAAAAGATGGGAACCATCTCCTGCAACCGTAAAAAATAGAGAAACAAATCATAAACATCATAATAAATCTAAGTCCTTAAAAAAAAGGAAGTTACAGAAAGAAGCAAAGTGACAGATGCAGAAGGATCAACAATCTGTAGGTTTAACTCAAGATCAGCTGCATTCTTGCCACTCACACAAACCTAAATGCAGGTGTTAGTGAAAAAGAGGCCTAGCACCAGATACTGATGAGTCTTACTATATATAGAAACATAGTCTTCATTGCAGCTGATGTGAACATGTGTTCAGTGCACATTATCTGAAACCTGCAGGGAGCTAATGGACAGTGACATTTGAGGATGACAAACACAGACAGCACAAGTGATGGAGAACAGCCACTGGAAATACATGATGTAATACATATAGGATATTAGTTGTTTTTTTTATATTATTTATATATTTTTACAATGCAATATTTTTAAAATCCCTATTTTCTTTAATTTTTCAAATATTTCCTTATTGTGTAACGTGTACTATGTAATATTTTTTAGAGTGGAAAAGAAAAGTGAGGCATTGGGAGGGAAAAATGTTTACTTTGCAATGACTTAACTAGGTATTTGTGCACTATAATAACACACATACGCAATGTGTGTCAACAGCAGCTCTGGAAAATTAAAAAATATGACCTGATAAAATTCAAATAAATACAATAATAATCGCATTTTTATCTAACATTATTGGATTGGACAGTTCGGCGGCCTGGATTTGGCTTCACTCGATGATTACTACTCTACTCTGTATAAAGGAAGACGACTTCACCTGAAATGTTACAAACTGAAGGCTTTTCAGTTACTTTTACACTGTCACCTTTAGGAAAAGCATTTCATTTCACATCAAAATGTCCCCGACAATTCGTCGTACTCGTGTGAATGACAATGATCAGCAGTAATAATTTCAATAAGCAGCTGACCATGAATGAATTTCAACAAACGCCTGGATCTTTGATTTAATAAAGCACATTTTTTGTGATTGAGGAGACAAGGTGTGATGGCTGCTATGGCAACGACGCTGCCACTACATAGCGTGATGTGTCTGGTTGCTTTGGTAACAGCAGTGGTTGATGATTTCTGGCTAGTGAAGCCTGAAGATTAAAGAGTGAAGTTTGTCAGTGCATGAGGACACGCTGACTAAGTAGACTCAACTTGTCCAGAGGACCCACCTGTCATTGCCACAGCAATTTTGTTCTAAATATGAACTTTTTACTTGGCTAATAAAATTAGAGCCAGATGAGCTGTTTTATTAGTTACATTAGGTGTTGAGAATTTCCTATTTGTGATCGATTTTTTGTTCTGACACATGTATAAATAAAAATAAAATAAATAATTTGGTACTATACTGATACCATATTTGTGAAATTATTTTGTTAGCAGCAGATATGCTGTTAACAGGCTGCCCCCCAGCAAGCGCAAAGCATGTGTTTCCTCTGGGAATCACACCCAGAACCCTCTGCTCTCTACTTCTGAGGTAGCCGCGCTAACTGCTACACTATGTAACCGACTGACACTAAGTTAGCACCAATTCTAAAATGAAAGTAAGGATCAAGCGTTGATGACAGTATCTTGAATAAATAAGTCTTTGTCAGGTTCAGTTTTGGTATGTTCAATTCTGAGTTGCTAAGCAACCTAAATAATTCCTTGACCGTACATATCCATGGGTCAGGAGCACACCTGAATGGCCTTAATATAACAGGGACAAAAAAAGAAACGGTGAGGTAGCTGTATGGACTTCACAGTGAGATATTGGTGTGACACACACTGTCACACCAATATAGGGCATCATGTTGATACAGGTCGCAACACTGTTCGCAAATGGGTAAGCATATGTATCCGTAGTAGCAGGGCTATCTAAGATAAGCAGGACACATTTAGTAAACTTCTAGTAAAGATCAAAAGTCACCAAAATAAAATAAAAACACAAACAACCTCTATAGACGTTTATATTTAGATATAGGCCCACACTGCTAGGGGGAACTCCCATGGTCCATTAAAGATTCTACCTCACTGTATGTACACATAAATACAATATCATGTGTATGTACAGATTAGGATGTGTATATAGGGTATTTATAATTAGAGGTAGTGTAGCTGAGTGGTCTAAGGCACTGGATTAAGGCTCCAGTCTCTTTTGGGGGCGTGGGTTCGAATCCAACAGCTGCCAAGTTTTTTGTTTGTCATTAGGGATTGGTATCAATATCACAACTAAAACAAACGTATTATATTGATCCCATATTTGGAAAATTGTTGTGTTAGCAGCAGCATGTGATTCCTCTGAGAATTGAGCCCAGGAGTCTCTGCTCTCCGAGGCAGGAGTGCTAACCGCTACACTACAAAACCGACCTGCAGTATGCATCTGCTCTACCATGTAGAAGGTCCTGGGTGAACCCCATAGGGACCACATATTTAGTGGCACCTTCCATGGCAGCCTGAGTGAATTGTGGAGATCTGGGTTTTGTATATAAGACAATTTTCGAGCTCTCTTCTCTCAGGTCAAAAAGCTATTACTCCACTGTAACCTAAAAACTCTTTATGCAACATCAAAAAAATCTGATTAGAGACTTTTTGTTGATCCAAATCAAACGAAAACAAAATAAATATCAGTTTTAAACTTATTTTACAGTGACTGTAGGTACCATTGATGGTGATATTGGCCGACCATTTGGAGGTGCCTTCCAGAACACACTGCTTGACGC